TGGGGTTCAAGGAGACAGAAGCAGAGATACAAAAAGCAGCTGTAAAAGGCGGCCCCGTCCAGGAAACACACAGCCAGGCAGACGAGCTCCGAGCCAACTCCCATGTCAGAGGACATGGGAGCACTATGTAAGCCTGGAACTCAAAACCTACTCCAGACGCTTTGAATTGAGAAAGCTTCCTGTACGGGAAGCAAAACATCTTTAAACGTAGAAAACCAAGTCCAGTGGTTCGTTTTTTTTAACTTAGTCAGATTAAACCTCTCCTCTCAATGTCACACCTGGCATGTTTTCATAACACATTGTTGGTCCCATCAACTGTTTATTCCAATTACTTTCGCCCATCTAAATGTAGCAATAGATGATAGTTTAAGTGGTAGCAGGAGGTAAATGATCTGACGCAGTGAAAGTTTGGAAAATAGCTCTGGAAAGTCCTTCGAAGTCCATCCTTTGATGTTAACCGAGGTGTGGGAACCAAAATGTTTCTAATGTTAATATACTATTCCAAAATAATAATCATCGAAAAACCAGACTGGAATTTTCTAAACTATTAAAATATTTAACTTTCTGCTGAGGAACATCAGCTCTTTGTTCACAGATGGAAAAATGAGTCATATTAGGAAAAGAACGTTGTCGTTACTGTGAAACACGGAAGAGGCTCTGTTATGACCTGGGCTGCTTTGCTTTATCTTGCTCGAGGTGTCTGAATCTCTGCAGGGTAAAATTATATCTCAAGACTATCAAGGGATTCTAGAGAGAAATGTGCTGCCCAGTGTCAGAAAGCTTGGTCTCAGTCGAGGCTCATGGATCTTCAGCAGGATAATGACTCAAAATTCACAACTAAAAAAACCCAAGAATGGCTAAGAGGAAAATATTAGACTTTGACCTAAATCCTATTGAATATTTTTTGGAAGGAACTGAAACAAGTTGTCTGGAGTGGGGGCACACTTCAAACATGAGAAAAATGGAGCAGTTTGCTCAGGTTGGGTCCAAAATATGCTGAGAGGAGTGACGGTTCATTGACAGCTACAGGAAATGTTAGATTGCAGTTATTGCCTCAAAAGGTTGTGCAATAAAATATTAAGTTGATGGTACCTTCCATTTTGTCCAGGCCTGTTTCAAGAGTGTATTTTCTAAAATCATTTTGTTAAGGTGTGGTTGAAATCAATGTTGGACTTTAATTAGTTCACTTTCATATAATTCAGATGGCCGATCAGCCAATCAGCTGTCTCTGTTTCTTCATTAAAAGCCCTCCTTACTACTCCAAACATTTTTTGATCCACTTTAGGAGCCGTTTTTAGGCTTTGAGAACATTAATCACTTAACACTGAGGTGTCAGGGTTCTTTAAGCATAGATTCTTGATTATTTCCTGATCATTTTCTGTCATACTTCTGTAGAAATGAAAGATGGTGCGCTTTCTTTTCACCATGACACGGGTTCTGACAACCTGATCCACTTTAGCTCGTGTTAAATCGTGGATACTAGAGCACTGATCCATCGGATATTCATAACTACTCTAGATACTGCAGCTTTAACAGTTTAAAGGAATGAGGGGGGAGACAGTCTGGCAGTCTGGCCTTAGTGTGGCCAAACAAAACTGCTTTTTATTGCAGCGTTACTGATGGAGATGCAAGGTTGGTTAGCCCTGTGTTTAAAGGAGCATCTTCCATCTCTGCAGGTGAAAAACTGAGAGTACATAAGAAGAAGTGTTCGAGCGTTCAACCCTTGCATGCTTGTCACAACGGGCTGAGTGTTCAGTTTGGACTCTCCAGTCGAAGGCGTGCTGTTTAATCATCAGATACGGATTGGGGCCTCAGTTTCAGACCTTGGGAGGCTCCGAGGAGTTCAGCATGGAGCCAAAGTGTGAGGAGATGCACGCCTGGTGGGAAGAGAAAGGCAGGGGGGCTGTTTCTGACAGCAAAGGGCATATCTGCTCCACTTCCTCTCAACAGGCCTTTTTCAGGAAAGCA